GTTCTGAATATATTGGAATGTGATGTGTCTACAAGCAAAAAAATGGAAATAAAGCAATTCTAAAACTAGACTCAGGGAGATAAGATGCTTGACTCATAAGATAGGAAGGTTTTTATCCATCTCAGTGATCACAATGTGTTGATACACGAATGGACAAATTGGGCAATAATACAGACTAGATGCTTCATAATTTGATGTATGCATGCAGTCAAGCTTGGAATATGATTTAGGGAAGAGTATAAATTATTGGGGAAGGCAGTTGTACTGGACATTTATTTAGATCTGCATCTCTCCACATATACAAAAATGAATTCTACATCAATTACAGACCTATATGTAGGGCCGGGGAGATAGTTCAGTAGAATATGTGCCTGCCTGGCAAGCGCAAGATCCTGAGTTCAATCCCTGATACCAAAAAAAAAAAAAAGACCTATATGTGAAAGAAAACTTTAAAACTATCAGGAAATACATTGTGGGTATCTTTGTAACCTCAGGACCAGGAAGGCTATCTAATGTAGACTCAGAAAGCACAAACTATAAAGGAAATAGAAGAACTTCAGTGAAATTAACAGTAATATAGACAAAGTTAAAACCTAAGTAACAAAAATATTCATAATACATACAACTGACAAATGATCAGTTTTCACAAAAAAGAAAAAAGAAAAACCTTCTACAGCCCAATAAAGTGATTCAGAGGCCAGTGAGATAACTCAGTCATGTAAGAGCCTGCTCAGGCAAGTGTAGCGACACGGTTTGATCCCCAGCAGGACAGGCTGTGCCTGCCCCACCCCCGGGCGTGCTGATCCAGCCCCTGAGTCTGGACATGGTGGCGCACCTGTGTAATCCCAGCACTGGGGAGGCTGAAAGCAAGAGGAATCACTATGAGTCTGAGCTGCTTAGTGAAACCCTGTACTAAATACATAAAAAAAGAAAATTCTCACCTTCTTAGTAGTCATAGAAATATACCTTAAAAGTACTGCAGAAAACCTTTTTATTCCTATTAAAGGCAAATATTAAAGAAAACTGATTTTTAGGTATTTCTAACTGTACACACACTGCTGATTGTGCTATAAGGGAATGAAACTCACACCCCAAAAGACCTGAGACGAGCTTGTGTTCTCTAAAACTGAAGAATGAATTTTATGAACAGTGGAGATTAAGAGCAGAATATTTATTGATGGAAAGAAAGCTCCCATCTGAGAGAGGGGGACAAAAGGCAACCTAAGTGGGTTGCCAAGGAATCTGTCTTTGCTAGGGATTTTTATAGAGCAAAACTATGAGGTGAGGCAGATACAAGGCGGGAAGCATAGGCACTTGCACATGAGGTGGGAGAAACCGGCCAGTCATAAGATTACAAGCGTAATTGCTCAGGTAAAATTGATTGAGTCCGGATCAAATGGGGAGATGAGTCACCCGAATGCAGACAGGGGCTCTTCCTATAGGAGTTGGGTTAGTGACTTTTCCTGGCTCTTTCAGGGTGATCGATACCTATTTAGAGTATCAATCCCTGATGCCCATCCCTAAGAAGGTAAGTGGCTACATTTGTTCACTCTTTTGTCTTGAGGTCCGACCCACAGCGGGAGGGGCTGTCTCCCACAGGTGCAAGGCCATCTTGGCTTCCAGACTGTCTCCTTCAAGGGCCTCTCCCTGCCTGGCTGCCTATGATATTTCTGTCTAACTCAGCTACCCACAACAATGGAAGTGTAATTCAGGAAAACAACTTTGAGGAGAAAGTCAGGAGTTCTCTGTAAAAATTCAAATGTGCATATTGTATAAATAACCTGGGCATGGAACTTGTGTATATAGCCCTGGAAAAATACTTTTAGGTGGTGTTTACAAGACGTTTATAGCTGCAGTGATACCAAGTTGCAGCAACCCTCATGGACACCAAACAAGAAGTGACTAAGTGGTACTCAATTCATGAACACACTGTCAGTGATACAGAGAAGACATAAAATCCTGGGCCCTTTAATTACTTCATTTATGCATCTAGGAATTAGAAACACTGGATACAGTTGAAATGTGGGTAGGGTTTGACTACTTGGAAGACAATCTTTAAAAAATAAGCCTTGACACAGAATGCCCAGACATTGCCTGAGACTTTCAAGGCATGTCCCAGATGCTGCCAGGAAGGCAACATGATGACACTTGGAAGTTCAACCAGAAATTTGAGTTGTAAGCACAAAAAGAAAGATTTTGAATTACTTAAATTTCTCGTGAGGTCTTAGGTTCAGGAATCCAGTTGGCCAGAGGACTGGTAGACTTGGATAAGAAAACAGGGTCTAAAGCGGCTGCAGCAGGAAGCTCAGCCAGCTCACAGCATAGAGCGTCATTGATGCTGTGGGCTGAATACCACCACTGCTGACCTGAGTCAATTCTAAACCTTCCTGGCCTTTCTGTATGACACACAGGAATGAGCCTGGGTCACAAGGGGAGAGAGGACTTCCCACATTCATCATCATCCCATCCCCCTCCACGGAAGGTACGGGCCCTGATTACTCTAGTGTAATCCAATCAAGAAAGAAAAGGAAAGAAGGTGTGGATGCTTTGGACTCCCAAATAGAGCCCTATATAATGAGAGTCAGATTCCAAGTCAATTGAGGACTGGATCTGTTTCGTTTCTTTTGAAAGACCAGGGCCCTTTCCTGGAACTGTGGATCTTGTTGGACTTGGCAGAGGCCTTCTGGAGGACGGAGCTAGTGTGCTGGCTGGGAAGGGCTTTGCTGTGGTGGCTCTGGCTTACTATAACTATGACGACCTCCCCTGGGATACAGAGACAATACACTTGGAATACTTTGCAGAAGCCATGAACTACCTGCTCAGTCACCCTCAGGTTGTCTGTTGGTTGTCTTTTAGTTTAAAGAGCAGGTTCCTAAACACACCCCCTAGCCAAGGTAAGACTGATTTTCAACTTAGTTGCCTGAGGATGCTCTCTGACAAAATCAAGTATCAGGTATCTTCTACATCACAGAGAAAAGTACATTTCTAGCTGTACTAGATCTCATACAGCATTCTAGAATCAAGAAAGCAGCCAAGAGTTGACACTCAGGTAGAGTGACAGAGCATCCTGGTTTGTCCAGAGAGGGTTTCAGGCCTCAGTACTAAGTCTGGCATGGTCTCAGGTGGAACACGAGGGCTGGTCACCTTTGCAGCATCACCGCTTTGTAGGTGTGAGTTTGTATCTGGCCTCCAGGTTTGTTATGAGTTAAGTGAATCATACATGTGAAGCCATTGAAATAGCACATAGGGCCGGGGAGATAGCTCAGTGGAGTAAGTGCTTGCCTGTCAAGCACAAGGTCATGAGTTCAATCCCTGGTACCACCAAAAAAAAAAAAAAAAGTTTCCCCTGGCCCTCGAGTTGGCCCGGTCCTGGGCTGTACTATGTCTCTTCCAGTATCACCGCCATGAAGAAAGTGGTTGAGCAGCTCTGGCTGGAGGCCGGACTCAACCGCGGGAAGGTTTCCCAGGCAGCTGCAGACTGAAAACAGTTCTGCCTGCAGAATGCTCAGCATGATCCTCTGCTGACTGGAGGATCCTCAAGCACAAACCCCTTCAGACCGCAGAAAGTCTGCTCCTTTTTGTAGTCAAATGAATTCTTAAGAGTTTTCCAGACCACTTTTAAACTAACCAGCAACCATTCAGAAAAAAGAAAATTGAAGCCTGTACACAAACTTCCCCTTTCTCAACATGTGCCTTAATATACAAACTTGTACTTTTGTCAGTCCTTAACATTTACCTCTCTGGATTTTCATGTATTTCTATTTCACAAGGGTGTTTTATGTACACTGGCACCAACATATAATAAAATACTTAGTAAAAACAGCACATAACTTTTGCTGACCAACATGTATTCATTCATGCAGCAAACACTGGAGGAT